AAGTTTAACATTTCCACTTCCACTAGCATTTGAAGATCTGTTTTTTCTTTTACCAAAGTTCAGTATGCATTCAGGTGGGAAGAAATCAAATATTCTCTCTACAGAGTTGCTTAAGATTTAAAAATATGGTAATCTGGATTTGTGTGAAACCTGATTTCTGGCTAGGAGAGGAGAATACAGGAGACCATATGACAAAGGGAAACCAACCATAAGAAGTGTTCAAATATTAAAATGCAGCTCCTGGCTTCTCCTTTTGGGGAAAAAATAACTCTTGGACTTTTTAGTGTCATTAGAGGTAAAAGTAGAAATACTAGCCAGAACAAGATTAAATAGCAAATGGGGCTGCAAGTGTAGGAAAGGTTAACTTAATTTAAAAGTAAATGGATTTGGCTGGCGGTGGAGGGTAGAGCAGTACTTATTCTGGAACTAGAAGCAGGAGGTCTACGTAGCAAACAGTCTGTAAAGAGACATGAGGACTGCATTGGTGTCATAACTTTAGCGATGGCTCTGGGGAAAGTATTTTACCCAGTATACATCAGACCCATATTGGGCAGGGCAGTAGTGGTTAAGACATATAAAAAATGCTAAGGGTATTCTGAATATTGCAGGTTTTACAGCTAGAATCCTGATAACTGTTTACTTTTAAAGATCACTGTCTCCAGTCTACAGAGTAAGAACTGGATGTGCATATCAAGATTCAGTAAGAAATAGTTTATAAGTAGTTTAGAACATGCACTTGGCCCAAGCTTGGGCCATTTGGACTCCTACACAGGATAGACTGAATATTGTCTTTCCTGTTAGCTCCTGGATAACAAGCTTGTTGGTGAAGGTGCTGTATCAAATGGGTTTTCAATGTGGAACTTCATTTGAGTGATAGTTTTAACTCATGGATATTAGGTATTTTGCAGTGTTTGAATTATTGGTTACATCTGGTCTGTGTGTGTGTTGAGGAGCATTTTGTTGAGAATATAGTTCCTCACAATATCTGCTTGCATTCTGACAGTGTTCAATTAAGTTTTCAGGAAGTATTTACTTATTAGCATGTTAACCTTTTATTTGCCAGTTGGTCATTTGATTCTGAGGATCACCCTATTCGACCTATATGGTTCAAATTCCTATTTGTCCTTTTTGTGCTAAGTGTGCCATTTCAGTCTGTTAATCTGCTTCAAATGCTTTGCAGATTTTTCTGTTTCAGGAAAATTAAAGAAAGGGTGGGAATATAGATTTACATTATCAGAAAACCATACTGAAGAGTTGATTAGAGTGACTTTTTTTTGTTGAGTGGAACCCAATTCTTCCTCCTCCATATATGTTACCCCCACTTTTCCCACTGACTGCACATGCCTGAGTGAGCAAGGCTTTACTCAAGGAATTAGAGTATCTAAATGGAAAAAGGAAGGCTTTGGACTAAAAGCCCTGGTGAACTTGAAAGACATGTCCGCTGTTAATTATTTCCCATGAATTCACAGCTGCTATCTGTTTTTCAAAAGTGAAATTACCTCATGAAGAATGTTTGGGATCAGATTTTTCCTACCCCTAATACAGAATCTGCCCTTCCTAGTTAACTGTTCGTTTCCATGCTGTTCTTAACCACTTCAAAATCTCTACTGATCTGTGTTAGGCTTTTATTCTAGAGAAATATCCCACCCCCAAATCTATATTCTTACAAAACTCTTTTTAAATATATGAAGTTAAGATCCCCTTGCCCTCTGTGGATAGTTCACCAGTGAAGGTCTGTTATCTTCCAGACCATTATAGAGCCTAGGAACTAGAGCTTTTAAGAGGTGATTTGTGATCAGAAACAGAAATTGATTGAAATGGTTGGGACCTGGAAATTGACACAACTGAGCAACCAGGATCAAGTGCTTGGATGGCCACTGCCTCAAGGCTTATTGGGGAAGTCTTAAATGCTTGGAAGAGACCTGAGAAGCAGCTAAAGCAACCTCCATTCCTCCTCCCCAACCCCTCAAATAAGCCAATTTCAGCTGTTCTATTATAAAAAAAAAAATTTTTTTTTGGTCTAATACTCTTCCACTTTGATATGTAAATCTGGCAAGTCCTTGCTACACTTCCCTTTTTCTGTCTTTCTAGAAATGTAGACTGGAACTTTTCTGGCTTAATGTAAAGAATCGTTCCTCTTTGTACTTGTGGCCTTCCAAGCTGACTTGCTGTCTATTGAATAGTCCTGGGCAGCAGTGCTTATTTATTTAGAGATTGCTGTCGTTCAGAATAGTCTAGCCATGGGAGCTATTGTTAAAGGGGGCAACAGCCTCAAATTAGAAATCTTAGGAGGGCCCCTGCTAGCTTGCTGAGCTGAGCTCTTGCCTTGTCCACCCTGTAGAGGACAGGGAAAGCAGCTGCAGCAGGTCACTATCTGCATTTTGGGCAGATTTACCAGTTCCCTGGGAATGTCTTAAGGGAGGTTAAGTATCTTGTCTGAATCTCAGAAAAACAGGGTTCTTGTGAGGTGGGTGGGACTGGTTTTTATATGATATTGAATTTCGGATTGCAATCTCAACTCACCCTGTGTCCTCAGGAATGTGCTGGTATGATTTGGGAGGATTTGAGTTTCCTCTTTGAAGTCAGTTTTTTTTTAAAGCCCTTCACATTTTAAGTTGCCAAAGTCCCCCCACCCCCCTCTTTCTCATACACAAAAGGTGCATTGTTCATGTGCCCAGTGTATTCTAAAGGAGACACCAAATCAGATGCAGCAACCCAGACTTGCATAAGCCTTGGTTAGAATGTAGTTTTTTAAAACTAGGCCAGTAGCCAGAGCGGAATTCTTTAAATAGGACAGATGTCGAGAGAATGGCTGGTTTCCTCTAGCACCCTTCCAGAAAGAAGCAAAGCTGGGATTACAACTTCCAGTGGCCTACTTTAAAGAGACACTACCCTGGAAGATGACTTTATTTATAAATATTTTTAAATATAAAATAAAAAAATATAACTCAGTGAAAATTACAACATGACTACTTTAAGCACCTTAACAGTTTGGGAAGGGGAAAAAGGGTGCTATTAAGGTACCCTTATTTTGGATATTATACCAGATTATGATGTATCACTGTTGAAATAGGTTATGGACTGGTCAAATGTTTTGTATTTTTCCCTCTGCCCTCAGAAAACAATGGAGTCTGGTGTCCTCTGTACCTCTTTTCATTTGAATTGTTATACGATCTGTGAGCAGCAGCTTTAAACCCATTTGTTGAGTAGCAAGGACAAGCAGTGCTGTATCAACTGTGAGGTCAAAGGATTACAGGTTAAGCAGAAGGCTTAGAATGGGAGCTTACACCCAACATAAGTCAGGATTGGGGCCCTTAAGGGCCCCAAAGCCCAAAGAGAGATGAGAGTGATTTCTGGCTTCTGTAAATGAGTCTTCAGAAAATGTATACCATAATAGGTAACAAACCCCAAGTGTTCATGGCTGCAGAGAAGGAAGATGTGTTACACTGTTACTGAGACAGCTTATTCCTCAGGGTCAGGCTTTGAAAAAGAAACCCAGTAAAAAGTATCTTTATTCTCATGTTAAAAAAGTTGTTCTATGATGATGCATTAACAATACAAAAATAACTTGGAACACTACAATGGTCCTTTTCTCTCTCAACTTCCTGCAACACTACACTAGAATAAATGATCTTTGGATTCTGAGAAATCAGTGGCTAATGTAGAAACTAAAGGCTTTTGTTGGGGGTTGGGGGTAGGGGTATGTGGGCAGCCTTTTTCTTTGGATTCAGGTATATACAGTGAAGAGGAGGCAAAAAAAGTTAATTTAAAATATTTAAGGCTCAGGGTTGAAGCTTGGCTCAGAAATGGGTTAAATTAGACAGAGAAACCACTGTCTACCATTAGCGGCTTTCTGGGCTCCTTGCTTTGGTTGTGATGGTCCCTCTTTCTTGCAGCCCCATAGGGAAGCTGGTCTGGGTTCTTGCTGGAAGATGGGTGTCATGAGATTTGGGGTTTGTTCTCCCTCATAATGACCCAGGAGCAAGCTAGACTGGCATGAATAAGCTGTATCTAGAGCTGTGAAGTGCTCTTAAAGTCAGGAGGGATGCACACAAGATTTTTGGCTATGACTATTTATAGCCATTAGCAACAGGCCTGGGACCTTAGTATTGGTACTTAAGTGGGTGAGCTTCTCAGGAAACGCTTCCAAATAATTTGAACTACAGCTCCTGATACCCCACCATACACGTTTGCCTGATAAATTAGTGTCAGGTTATTCTTGTTACGTAGGGTGATAGGTCTAAACTTGATCCATTCCTTCCCCTCCTCTTCTTGTAAGCTCCTGAGACTGGCAAGAGTCCTCTGGTCCAGTTTACAAGTAGCAGCTGATTTTCTGTAAACTGGGTTTCTCCAGAATATTGAGAGAAGCATTTTCTAAGCTTTGTGGTTGTAACTGTGCTCACGTGGTATTTGATAAACCAGCTCATTGTTGGCCAATGAATTATCTGGTGTAGGGAGGGCATGGCACTATGCGGGTGAGGAGAGCAGGGTAGGGAAAGCAGCGGGGCTCATGTAAGCCCATTTGTAACTATAGCAGAAAGACAGGGAGTCAGGGGCATGTGGCTGGTTAAATGGATGGTTAAAAAGGACAAATGCAGGCTGCCATGGGCATGAAGGATGCCCTTGATCAGATGATACAACACAGATCTGATCCCCACCACAGTCTGAATTGATGGCCTCGGGTTCAGGCAGAAGTTGTGCAGCCTTTGATATCTCCAGAGTCTGGACCTTGAGAGGGAATTAGCAGAGCCACTGGTCGGATGCCACGTGCCTTGGGACTCTGTCGCCTCCTCTCAGAGGGCGGCCCCCCAGAGGAGACCACATGTCCTGTGCATGCGAGGCCTCCTGTCTCTGAGATTCCTGTTGCTGTACCTGTGTACTCTGCAGGGTGCTGCTGGGGGCCTATGGGTGTCCAGGGGGCTGGGAGGCTGAGAGTAGCCGAGAGACCCGGTGATGTAGGCGCTGGCTCCGCAGGGCTAGCAAGCAGTTCTGTGGGGAAGCGGGGCAGCAGGAGGTATGAGGGTGAGTCCCGGGGGGCTGGGGACCCTGGGCAGCCTAGAGCACTGTCATCGGAAGGAACGGGGCTGGGGCAGCGGCCTTCTCCGGGTAAGTACCGAATGCATTTCTTTTTCCTCCTAGGAATAGTGAAGAGAGTTATCTGTAAATAGAGGGTGAATTCATAGTCATACACCACAACCAAAAAATGCTGTTCTTGCGCAGGCCTAGTGTCCCCTCTCCCATGACTTGGGTGGGTGTAGTGCCTGTATCTTGAGATCTGCAACTTGGTTGGGCCTGGCTTAGACTTGGGATAGGTGCACTTCCCAGGACAGCCACCAGGTGGCACAGGAGCTTTATGTCATTAGGCCCATGGGGCTGTTTAGCAGTGGCGCCATCTCCCAGTCTGTACCATTGAGCCTCTGCTTCACATGTGCTTGTGTGGCCTCATATCTGCATTAAGGCCAAGGGCTGCAATGCTTATAGCTTCATGGGCTGAGTAATCCCAGTGCTTACCCATTCTTCCAAGACACCTCATAGTTCAGTTTGTCTCTGAATAGCAGGGAATGGGTGGACTAGGAACCCCTTTGAGGACAGCGTTGCCTCCCATCATGGCCATGCATACATAGTCACCCTCCCCAACCAAGCCTTTTATCCTCTGGCAGGGAGCATTGAGGGGCCAAACATTCCGTTTGTGTCAGTGAACTGCTGCCTAAAAGTAGCCTCAGTCTCAACCAAGTTTTGGCCTCACCTATACTAAGCCACTTGGTATTTACTTATACACAAACACAATAACTTCTTTGTTCTGTGGTGATACAGGTTTAGTGCCACAGGTTCCATATGCACTTGGTTAGGATAGTTGTATTCCTGCTCTGCCCCACCTACCCACTACATCTCTGGTCTCAGTACATCAAGATAGGCTGAGTCATGGGGGTCACTCAGCAACCAGGTTATTTAGGTTTTCTAGTTACCGTGGATGGTAGAAGCAGGGATCCCCATTTTAAGTGAGGGAGCTAGCAGGTTGTGATTACACTGAGGCCTGGGAGCAGATCAGGCCACCTGAATGGTGTATGTATGTTTTGGTGTTAGCACCAAACTGCCATTACTGGGTGACCTAAGGCACCAGGAACCAGAAGGAACTTGAGTTTGCCTTTCCTGCCCTTCTAAAACATTCTCTTTCTCCTCGTGTTAATTCTTCCACTTAGTCTTCCCCAGAAGCTATATTTAGTGATCACTCCTATTCTTAGAAGGAAGGGACTCCCAATCTATGGGTCTGATTGGAAGCTGGGGAGGAGGGGTGTTGGGCAAGAGGGCTGCAGGTCTAGCAGAATGTGTGCAGAGTCAGGGAAGCAGCTTGAAGCAAAGGGAGGATGGTGGTGGGGACAAACCCACCTGCACGGACCACACCAATCCGTCTGCTGGTTGAGGCCAAAGCGAGCACGGCATTTCTTAGGCGAGCCAGGGTCTGCTCACAGCCATGCCAGGGGGCAGAGCAGGGCAGAGGGCGAGAGCAGGCAGGCGGCAGGGCAGAGCAGGGCCCAGAAAGAAGAGGTAACATTGTTAGCCAGTCATAGACACCCCACAGCCCCCACAGGCAGTGTAGGCCTCTCCATGGCACAGCCAGCCCCAGTGGGAGCCCTATAGCCCAAAGCCAAGGTAACAGGAAAGGTGGGGACCCACCTGGGCATTAGAAGCAGTGAGAAGAATGGTGGGTTGAGAAGGAAGAGACCCTGTCAGGCTGGCTTCTCTCTAACTTATGGGAGCAAAAGCTCCGCAAGGCCTATGCGATCTGTCTCAGCCTTAGGGATGTATCTGCCCATTTACCCAGGTTTTCATTAATGTCAATGCCCAGTCTGCCTGACTCCATAGCCTCCATAACCTTAAGCTATAGCTTAAGTATCTTAACCACTTTTAGATATGGAAAGAAGATCCATTCTTCAACCTCAGAGGAAGGGTTAAGGACTCTGCCCAGCCCAGTTCTAGGCTCTAGTTTCCTTGTATGGTGGCAGCACAGTTGATAGTCTGTTATGGCTATGGTGTCTGTAACAGATTGAGGTAGGGATTCACACACAAGAAAGACGTTTGTAGCACGGTGGGGCTCCTAGGGTCCTCTGAACTTTACTATCATGAAAGCTGGAACTGCAGGGATAACAAGAGAAATTACCCAGATGACCCTCTGTTGATGACCTACTCCCTCAACTAGCCAGGATGCAGAGATTGGGTTTTGCATCAGATTCATAGTCATTCCCCTACAGGCGTGTCTGGCAGAGGCTAGCAGAGAGCAGGGCTGGCAAAGAGCAAAGGCGGTAAGGGGGTGTCAGGTAGTACAGCTCTGCTATCAGCTTCTGCTGGTTTTCCTAGGACTTAGTAGTGCTTGGTAACAGAGCTTGTCACCTGTGACTTGTGACTTACAGGTCTTGCCCTCAGAGGATCCAGGGGCCAAGACCTGAAGGGAATGAGTACCTGCCCCACCCTCTGGACCTGAGTAAGGCTGCTGGTGAAATGGAACCTGGAAAAGAGCCTCCATTAGTGCCGAGGGAATGCCCTCACCTGTGTTGGATTCTTGGTGTTTTTCCCTTGACCGCCTCTTCTTCTTCCCCTGCAGGGAACAAAGAGATGCTCTTAGTCTGAGAGGTTGCAGCTATAACCCCAGTGAGTGAATGATTGGGACAGAACCTGCAGCCCACTCCTAACTGGGGGCCCTCAGCGTGTCTTGATTGCAGTTCTTGCTAGATGACAATGGGGCAGCGAAGGGCTCTTCCTTTTTCTAGCTCATCTCCCGTTTTGAATAGGAGAGGTGACCTCCAGGCTTCTTCCTCCCCTTCTGCCCATGTGTTCCAATCAAATACAGAGCAACAGCCAAGTGGGGAAATGTACCCTCGGTGCACCTGTTTCTAGGACCAGCTCCCCTTGCTTGGCCTTTCATGAACTAGCCATGGGAGGCCTTCACCCTCCACTCCTCCTGTCCTTACCTGTGCCTTCCTTGCTGAGACTGACCTGTCTGGGGCGTGGCTTCTTGAAGGGTACCCTACCTGCTGAGTGTCACTGGCTACTCACATAGTTGTCCCGCGCAGACCAGCCTGGATATAGCTGCATGTGTAACTGCCTCTCCTTTCGTGCCAGCTCATAGTACTTGGCCTGTTCTTCCCGTGACAGCGCATGCCACTGCAAGGGGGTGAGAAGTTGGGGTAACACAGGTGAGTTGTATTAGCAGCCTGCATGAGGTGAAACTGGTCAGAAGCCACCCCTGCCCACCAGTCTGTGGTCATACCCTGCGGCCCAGGATCTGGTTGATGGCCGCACTCTCCTTGAGCGTGCACTCTGCAATGACCTTGGCTCTCATCTCCTTCATGTACAGCATGAAAGCGTTCAGTGGCTTCTTGATGGTTGGTTTCTTGGCTTCCTTTTCTGCCTTGGACTCTGCCTGAGTCTTCCTGAGGGGCACATGTCCAGATCACTTGGGAACTGCTGCCCCACTCCCAGTATCTACTTAATGCTACTACCGTCTAGAGTGTGAGTGCTAGGACAGCAGGGTTTTTGTAAATGAATTCTTATCTGTGGAGCTCACCCATTATAGGAATACTGAAACTAAGTGAGAAAGTATGTGCAAGGACTTCTGCACCCCTTGGCTCAAACTGAGTCCTATTTCCCCACCCCCGCCCCCTTCCTGCTTCTGAGGACCAAGAGGCAGCGGTCAGTGCAATGTTTACACAAAATGGCTTGACTTAGAGACAACCTCTGGCAGTTTCAGAACTTCAAGGCAACAAGCCTGGGCCTGGCAGGAAGAGTATGAACCCTGGCTGACAGATGGAAGCCTGTACCCCACCCCCCAACTGCCTTTTCACTCACAGGCTGCGGTCATACGGCTGCAGCTCCTGCTTCCCTGAGGGGGGCACGATGGCTGGGTGGGGTATTGCTGCTGGGTGACCAGGTACGCCGGAGCCTAACATCAGGGATGGGTGGGTGAACCTAGAGAGGCAGGAGGAGAGTTAATACTGATCCAGATATATAATAACAGTCAGACCTTTGGACACATGGAGGCCCTGCATGGCACACGAGGACAGGCTAGAACAGAAACCTCACTGGCCTGCACACAAGTACATACAAATACACATATCTGCTTCCAACACATTACACAGACACATTGCAAAAATCTACATGTTGCCCAGGTAGTTAGTAATATCCTAAATGGCTTTTGAACCTGACTCTTCATCTCCTACCTGTATCAACTCAGCATCAGTAACCTGTGGCTGCTCTGAGGCTTTCTCACGCTGCCCCTCCAGGCCTCTCCATCCCACACAGTGGCCTTTTAAAAACATAAGGGTCCCTGGCCACTCCTGCGATTCCTCCACTGCTTACAGACTAAAGCCTGGTTCCCTCCTGGCTTCTTGCCAGATGGAGAGTGCAAAGCTGCCATGACATCCCTTGCTGCCCCACCTTTGCCCCTGTTGGCTATCACTTCCTGGATGGGGTCTCCTTGGTCCTTCTCCACCCCCAGAGAGCTGACTGAACTATTGCTGCTATGTACATTCCTCCCTGGTCTGCGCTCCATCAGGGCTGGAAATGGCTGCTGAACTGCCTGTGCCATACTGGCATGGGCTCTCACTGAGGGAGTTAGCTATGTGAAAGGGTATCAGTCCCAATTGCTGTTCTGTGATTAGCACATTGCACCTTGCCACTGACACAGGTGTAGGGGGGGGTCCCTGCACAAGCAGCCAGAGGTTGGAGGGCCAGAGGTTAGAGACAAAGGAAGTAGCCTCCTTGGATGAGGCCAGGGAGCATTCTCCTGACCCACCCTTCCCCTCAGCGGGATGCAGAGGTGAGTGCACACACCATGGCTGTCTCACCCATACAGAGGTGGGCACAGCACATGAGTGCATGTACTATCCAGGGCTGCTCTGCTGTGCACTGTGACCTGGGCACAGGTCCCATTCTCAGGCACAGGGCAGCAGGGGGCTGCATTTTGACAGACGGACGGCTGGACAGACGACTAACACAGGGAAAGCACTGGCCTGGGCATGGCTTCATGTGGGCACTGAAGCCTGGGCAACAGGAAGCAGGAGCCTGGCTGCAGGGCTGCAGGGTTAGGGGACTCACCTGGGGTAGGGGGTGCCAGGGGCTGCTGTGGGGGCGGGGAAGTGCTGTCTATATCCGCAGGAAGGGGACAGGGGGTAGAGAGGAGGGCTGGGCCTGTGGTTGGGAGAGACAGCTGTTAGCAGTCTGGCTACTGGCCAGATGTGGGCAAGGGGTTCCCCACCTTGTTCTGGTTTGACCCATAATGAGATGCTACAAGTCTCTGATCTGAGACTCCAGTGTATATTTTGAGCATGAGCCACCAGTGTATATTTTGAGCATGAGCCACCAGAGGGCAATCTGTGCTTCACCTTTTCCCTCTAGTCTTGAATTGGTCTTTAAGGAATGCAAGTGGCAGCTTTCTTTTGGGAACTAGTTTAGTTTCCTATCAAGTTGCTGAGAAGCAGCAGCCTCTCTTCTAGCAATTTCTGCTGTCACCTTCCTACTCAGGCCTATCTTTTCTTCCTCACACATTCATGGGCCCTGAGCAGCCAGGGATCCCCTTTTAAGTTTATCGTAGACACTGAGTACAACAGGGCTGGGACCAAGAAGCAGGTCTCTCACCTTCCCAAAGGGAGTCAGGTTACCTGGGGAATGGATAGTAGTACTGCCTGCCAGCACCTCAAACCTCTGGAGTTGGCAGCAAGGTGCTTGGCACAGAAGGATAGGGAAGATGGGAGGATGGGTAAGGGTCTGATTAGCACACCCTTTTCCCATGGAGCCCACACTCACCAGCTCACAGTGTGGGGGAGCTGTCCCATGCTGCTTGAGGTCAGAGAGTAGAAGCCGGAGAGGTCAGGGGTCTGCAGGGGCCTGTGGACTCCTGCAGTGGGGAGACCCAAGTCAGTGAGCTAGCCTGACCTGGAGCCCCTCAGCTGGGTTATTTTATCCTAAAGTCACTTTTGGGGTGGAGGGGAAGAATCACTAAATGTCATTCTCCCCCCACCCTCATTTCCTAGAAGACCAGATATACTGGTTTGTTAAGGACTATCCCCCCCTATGCTAACAGTACCCCCTTTTACAGACTAGGGAACTTAGGGCAAAGGGGTTGCATGATGCCTAAGCACACTGGCTGGCAGCAGAGTTGGAGTCACTCAGGAGTGGGTCACTAGGCCTTGCCACACCCTTCTCTACATTTTAGGGCTCCCTACTTGAGGCTCTGGCCTGGCTTTCTGGGCCAGAAGCAGCCAGCCCCCTGGTCTAGGGGAACCTGGTGTGGGGAGACAGGGCTCCACTTGCCCCCTCTGCTCCCCAGGGTTGAGTCAGCAGGTTTCCCACAGCCAACAATGGCTGATTTCAGAATGACTTTGCCTGGGGCTGAAGTGAATCAGCCTTCACAACCACCACTTTCCATTTTCTCACTGGGGGAGGGAAAGCTAGGAGCTTTATAGTTCCCAGCTTTGCCCCATGCCTATTCCCCCTACTGGCACTGGCAGCATTCAGGATTAGGCTTCTATCTCAATTTATAAAGCTTTCAAATTCTGACTTGGCACCACCGCCCCCCCACCCCTTGGTGTTATCAGTCCCACCAATTCATCTTTCTGTCATTAGTTTGGGGCCCTGGGTTTGCACAACCTCAGATTCTCCAGTCTCAAGATGGAGACAGTCATAAGGGCTAAGACCCAGCTAAGAAGCTGGGTACTTGGCCACTGGACTCCAGATCTCTTAGCGCCCCATCCTCTTCCCTACCTTGCTTTTGACTGATGTCAGCTGGTGCAGCTGTGGGGTGTGGGCTGCTGAAATGTTCATAGAGAGGAGAAAGTTGTGGGACGGCGTGAGCAGGCTGACTGGCCTTGTTATGCTGAAAAATAAGGAGTAGCGGTGAATGTTGGGACATAGTATAGGCTGATCCCCAATTAGCTGTGTACAAGGTAACGTGTAGAGCAAAAGTGGGGGGTGAATCAAAACTACAGACTTCGGGAGTCAAGCCCTCTGCCCAATGGCCCTGACTCCTGCGTACCAAGCTACCCCCATCCCCACCCCCACCTGAGTCCAAGCAGTTCCACCTCCTAGAGCCTTTATCCCAGGAGGTACATCTTCCCTGTCCAGAAAGTTCTTCCTGGCTTTCTGGTCTTAGATCCCTCAGTTTCTGGGGGCTGTTTATAGCCTTCAGCCACAATAGGAGAACATCATGGTCTGGGGATACTCGGGATCATTTGGAGCTTTTTTGCCTCTTCCAACCCCCAGACTAGGGGTCCTGAGTCAGACCCCCTTTCCATTCTCAGCCTTAACAGAATTTGTTGACACAGGAAAGGCCCCCCCTCCCCATACCCCTAGTCCTCTGACTTTTGAAGGTAGGGCTGAGTGGGGCCAACCTGCCTGGCCTCGGTACTTCCTGTTTCCTCAATACCACAGGACTCTTACTTTCACACAGATCACATGGATCTGTCCCAGCTCAGGCTGGGAAGGGGCTCCCCGTACAACCCAGCCACAGAGAGTTGCTCAGGCCCAGGACCCCACTCTGCCTGTGCCTGGTGCCCGGGGCAGGATGGGTTCTGGAGAATCATCTACAATTTTGGCCCAAGTTCTCACTCAGAGAATTCCATTTGCAGGAAAGCTGCTAGCTGGGAACTCAGATGACTGACTTCCAACCACGTGCACAGAAAAATAACACAGTAATGATAGGTTTAGGTCCAGCTCCTGCCCTGTGGGTAAAATTTCCCATTTTTCCCAATGGTGAGTTAGCCTCCTTCACATCTCTCGACCTCAGTTTTCTCTCATGTAATGACTGGGGTTCTGATCCCGCATCACTGATTTAGGGTAACTCGTAAGAAGACCTGTAATGGACCCTTGGCACTGGCTGTTGGAGGGAAGACTGGGTATGAGCCACACTGTAGCTAAGGCTTGAGGGCAGGTGCCTGTACTATCCAGCAACAGCCCTGGCCACCATCTTCCCCCACATTCCTGCTGGCAGGGGAACTGCTCCCATCCCCTTTGGACTTGAGAGGTGCTGACACTCCTGTCAGTTGCTGTTCATCAGCTGCTGTTCATCTGTCTCCAGCAGGAGGAGCTGTGCACACAGAGCTAAGCAGGCTTCCTTTTGTTCTCCCAGGTGGTCAGCTTGATGTCCCATAGTGGTAGGTCCTTCCAGGTTAACATGAATTTGGGACCATAGCCCTATGCCACTTGATTTGACTCCCCTCCTGGGGCAGGGCAGAAGATCTTCCCTCCGTCAGCCCCCGGGAGGGCTGCTACTATGACCTGGAGACAGATTGGGGCCCACCCTGCTCAGCAACTCTGACATGTGGCCTTCAAGCCCTTATAGTATCTGAGCACCGGTTTTCTCTTTAAAATGAAGGTGATGAAGCCAAACACCAAGAGCTCAACCATTCAGGTGTCAGGTAACGCGGAAGTGGGGGCATGTAGGAAGCCTGTCATCCACCCTGAAGAGCCTTCACAGGCAAGACAAAAATGCTACAGTCCCTCTGGTGCTGGCCTCACACACCATTTTTTTGTTTTTGAGGGTATGCCTGGAAGGGTGGACATGTAACCAAACTAGCAGCATCACCTCGAATGGGGAGGGGGAGGAGGGTAATGATGGGGCCATACTGTCCCCACAGCTTAGTTGCCATAACTTTACTGTTGGCTGCTTCAAGACCAGGTTACCTGAGCAAGCTGGGGGCATCTCAGCTACTCTCAGGCTTGCTTTTAACCCTAGCACCCTAGACACATTCACGATAGGTGGGAGTGTGGGCAAGCACTAGGAGGGCTGGTATGAGAGGGGTGGACCAGTTATGGCATACAGGGCACACATGAGACATCTCTACAGAGTACCTGTCACGAGCCAGGCACTGTGCCAAGCACGCTGCAAAGTCCATCTCATGCCTGTTGGGGTATCAGCAGACGGCCATATTTCCCATCTGTCAGGTCTCCCCAGCTCCCTCACCATGTCTCTCTTTCCTTTAAAAACCACTTCAGTAGAGCTGTCCCCTTTACTCATGGCCTGTGGTTCTCAGCCACCACACTCCCTTTGATCTTGCCAGTCTCTTGCCCGAATGATATCAGGGTCCCCAGTGATTTCCATATGGCTAAACCCAATGGTCAGTTCTCAGTCTTCTTACCTGACCTCTTGGAAGCATCAGACACTACTCACTTCTCCCTCCTCCTTGAAATGTTTCTTTACTTGGCTTCCAGAATGCCACTATTGCCCGATTTTCCTCTGGCTGCTCCTTAGGCTCATTTCTGGCTCCTCTTCCGTTTCCTAACCTGACCTGAAGTTGCCTCTCTGCTCACTCTCTACTCTCCACTCCTGTAGGCTCACAGCTTAGGTGTCCTCATCTGATGGTCCACATGTTTATCTCCAGCCTGCACATCTGGCAACTTTACTCTCCAGATGTCCATTCAACAATTCATTATGGAGACCACAGATGCTGCCCATGCTCAATTGGTCCAAATCAGCCTTTGACTTCCTATCCTAAATTAGTTGGCTTCCACTGTTGATGGCACCTCCTCCTTCCAGTAAATACCTTGACTCTTTCTCATTCTCCACATCAAGATTGTCAGCCAATCTTAATGGCTCCACTTTCAAAATATATCTAGAATCCAGCTAGTTTTTCCCTCCATGTCCCACCCAGTGTAAGCCTCCGCCCATGTCTCTCCTGCATAACTGCAACCAGCCCACACTCCTGCCGCCACATAGAGCAGATCACATGGCTCCTCTACCTAGTCTCCAACCCAAGTCTGCCAGCTGAGCTCCCTGAGATCAGGCCTCTGTTCCCGCACAAACATATGACCATACTGTGTCCAGATTTCAGCTTTCAACCCCCTCCTCTACTTACTCTAGTGATACTGTCTTCTAAAAGTGCCCTTGTTAGTCTTTCACTGTAGGATCCTGGGCCAGTATGCCTCATAAAATAAGGATGAGAATATCAGCCCTCACTATGTCAGTGGTCACAGGTATACAAATTCTGCGTTATTCTAGAATTTTGGGGTTCAGGAGAAAAGGACTTATGAAGGCTGGAAACTTCTTGGGCTTCTTTTTCCTGGGCTGCTTTTTCCTGATAGGTAGGAGAAGGTGACTCCAAACCAGGTTTCCCAGTAAACCACCCTCCCTGGCTTTTAACCTCCCTGGCAAGTTAATTAAGATCCAGGTTCAGCACAGCTCAGACTAAGCCTAGGGAACCTCAGAATCCAATCCAGCCACTGGCCTGTATGTATGTGTGTGGTGGTGGGGAAGGGGAGAGTGTGTGTCGGGGGGTGGTTGCATGGTGGGCAGAGGACTCTTCCTGTTTATCAGCCTTCCCTGGGAACTAGGGAATCTGCAGCCAAACCACAGGAGAGATGCTGGCTGGGGCAGAGAGTCTGCCAGCAGCTGGAGGCCCTGGGCTGGCCAGGGTAGGACACTGAGGGCCTGGCCAGTCCTTCCCACTTTTTTTTTAATATTTAATTTTTTATGCATACAGAACTGGGGTACAGGCCAGCGGTGCAGGGGCGGTGAGAGGATTTACCAGAGACAGAGTGGGGAGCAGAACAGCAGATCAATGAGGTACACTGCTGAGGGGAGTGGCGCTGGTCAGGAGAGGTCTGCCGCGCCATGTGGCTCATCTTTGGGGCTCGGGTTTGAACTTGCACTGAAGTGGCTGCTGCTCCTTTGTAGTGTTGTGCTTTAACCCATTGCGCCACCACGGAGGCCCCCTTCCCACTTTCATTTCAGCTGCTTCTCATCCTCAGTCCTTAGCTCTCCACGCCTGATGGTGGTAGCCAAGAAGAACCGCCTGGCACAGGGCCTGGTGGCCCATGCCCCCTCAGCCAGTGGAACGTCCCGCTCCATGGCCTCAGCACAAGGCTGACCCAGGGCCAGGCTGCCCAGACAACAGGGTGGGGTTGCCTGGGGCCTGGTGTGCATATGGGGAGCCCAGTGACTGCAGCTCCCCTCCTCTCCTCCTCCTGATGGGGACTGTGGCCAGATTCCAAGGAAAGGAAGTGGGTCTGGGTTGATTGTTCCCACCAGGCTTTGAGCAACCCCACAGAACCATCACACATCTTGCCTTTGAGGGAAGAGCCTCGAACACACAGCTGAGTAAGTGCTCCGGGCATGGTGGACTTTATATATAATGACAAACTCAACAATAGTCACACACTCTGGTCAAGACACACCAGGTCCCTGGTCTTTGCCTGTGTCTGCGGCACAACCGTCACCCCACCAGAGGCTGCAGCACTCCAGCACTGGTCCAGGCCTCTGAGACCTTTGAACTGGAAGGTAACATCTGCAGCAGTTCCAGCATTGCTGTTCCTGTTCTTGCCTGTGCCAACTCAACCGATTGTCCTAAAAGAGGTCCTCATCCTTCTGGGTTAGTTTCCACAACCCATGGCTAGAAATCTCCCCCTCTGGTGCCCTGGCATGCCCTCCTTTTATTCAGCAGGTTGGAGCCAGGAAGAGGCCCTAGGGCAGGGCTGGGCAGGAGATATAAATGAGGGACTCCTGAGGTAGGTCGTCTCTACTCTGAAGTCAAGCTTGGGCCTGGCTGGGCTGCCCCTACCTTCCCCCTTCACCCCCCGCCCCTCACTTCCTGCAGGCTCAGGTGAAAAATAAACACAGTCGGCATTTTCCCTGCAGACCGCAGCGGTCTGCTTACAGGCGGTGTGCACACTGAGAGCCCCTGCCACCGCCGGTAGAGAAACTCCCTCGCCTCTGACGGTTGACTCCGAAAACCCCCAAACGCTTGAACCCCACAACACTTTCCCAGCGAAGAAAGTTGCTGCTTCCTCTGGCCTCAAGCCTGGGGTGGGAGGAGCATGTGAGGCCTGAGCAGGCTCCCAAGGCCTCCCTGTGGCAGGGGACTGTGCCACCCACCACATGCA